GTGCAAGATAATAAGCATTGATATAAACTGACATATTTATCTTATGTTGAGCTCTGCCTGCTGTTCATGGGAATATGGTCATATTTGACCTTTGGATGAATACACAATGTATTGATTTATTGAAATGGAATCATTTATATACTGTAAGCATGTGTACCATATGCCGTTTCATTTAATGTTGACCTACACAAATGTGCAGTACATACAGATTATAACAACTGACATACAGCCTTCAATTCACACATTCACACTTGTAAACTGTAGATCCCTGTGTTCATCAAACCTTTTGACCTTTTTCTGACATGCCTGACATGCACTTCTCGCCAGCAGACCAATTACAACCATCTCATTTCTTTCTCCGTTCCTCCTGCTGTCCATCCCCCTCCAGACAATCAGAAAAAGGCTCTTCCACCCACTCCTTCCACCACTGGCTTTTATTTCTTCTTCTTGTATTTCATTCCTCCTCCTCCTCCTCCTCCTCCTCCTCCTCCTCCTCCTCCTCCTCCTCCTCCTCCTCCTCCTCCTACTCATATATTGTGACTATTTCTTCAACATTGCTGCTACTACTCTCTTTATTAATCTGCTGAGCGGCCCTGCCACAACTCTTCTATTAATAGTAGTCATGGGATACAAACCCACAGTGGAGGAAGTTGAGAACAAATTATTTGAACAAGCTCTGAGGGGAAGAACTGCATGTGGGAGAAAGACGAAGGAACAATGGTAACAAGAAAAAAACTATCTTGTTCCTAATTAGATGCTCACCAGCTGTGTGTTTTTGCATTTAAAGCAGGACCAGTGGCTCATTAATTAACAACCTAACAACTAATGATTGTGTTAACATACACTAACAAGGGTACACATGTATAGTTCAACTTTACACATCAATCTGAAGAGGAATCAGCAACCTTGACATACATTTAAAATACCAAACCAGTCAATCCTAAAATGAAGTAGAGTTTAATCCCAGATTAAGTGCATGTTAAAGGGTGTTGCACATACATATAACCAGTGATTGCAATGCTATGTTAAATGTCTGTTCCCTTGCTTCTTGCCTTAAATATGTTCTGCTGTGCTGCTTTATGAAAAGTCTGATTTTGATCTGACAATAAAGTAGTATGATATCGTATTGTACTACAAGAAGCATTTTAAAATGGAGAGAAAACTGGGGAATTATTCAAATCATATTTTAATGAAAATAAGTCATTTTGAACTCATGACCATTGTTGTTTATTTTTGCTCGGCTGCTTACTGTACATGCTGATCACTGCGGGATCTGAAGGGTCTCCAACAGTCCAAAATATCCTGCATTAAAGACTACTTATTTTGGATCATAAAAACACAGCAAGGCCACTTGTTTCTTGGCAGTAAGTTAAAGCTTTCTGAGAGCTAACACTGCTTTCCAATAGTGCTTACACTGTCCACCTTTCAGCCATAAGGACACAGCTTTAGGCAAGTTAGCTTGGATTGACTTTTGACATGACCAATTGATTTTTTGTATGCCTCCCTGAATATTAGAACCATTTCAGGCAAAACATTTCCCATTATGTATATCTGCCACCACCATTTTCTCAGATGTTACAATGCCCATGTCAAAGCAATGTTTAGGTTTTCTGTAAAAATGATTTCAGACTTGTTTATCAAGTAATGCCTGATTTTAAGATTTAAAAATTCAATGACTTTTCAGACTTTTAGGAATCTGCAGAAACCCCAGTTTTCCATCTCTCCCTTCTATTACTCTCTCTCTGTGCCCCAACTCTCACTCACATATTTTTCTCACGTACATGTTTTGCATATGTTCATTTTGAAACGGGAAGAAAACACTTCCTTTGCAGATAATTTTGATCTGCTGTTCAGGTAACAGAGCTTGTGACCTCTCCCATGGGGCTTTTGACTAGCCCACTTCCTTGAAAATACTTAAATATACAATATTTTGCCAATTACCTATAACATAGGTAATCTTTCTTTTTTTCCATTTCGCCCAGCCCCACTGTACAGGACACTAGATCTCCATATGTGAAAGATGATATTATGAATTCTAGTGCAGATCTCTGACTACACAATTACAAAGGGTTACTCTCCATACATAATGCACATGCAGTCCATGTATCACCGCAGGACCCCTGCATATACCACGCATGTATCCACCTAAGAGTTCTGACCTTGTGTGACCGTAATATATGCAGGTTTGAGATATCTCCAGTAAGCCACTCACCTGTTGACTCCACTGCTTATTCACTGTTGTATTTTACAGAGCGCTTATTGTGAATAATCTCTGTTCCGGTATCAGTGCCAACGTCGGCAAAGCAAAAACCTTCACATATGTTAATGTGTAATTACGGAGTTTCTAATTCAGATACAAAGGGCACGTGAAAAAGCTGTCCCATAATGCTGACACTGTAATAAGTGTGAGGAAACAGAGCTGATAAATAGCCAGTATGCTGTTAATTGTCTTTCAATATGCTCTATAGCTTTAAAAAAGTTCATTACTGCTTTTCCAGCATACAATAAGAGGTCATTCTCTATTACAATATACATGCAAAATGTAAAAGGACTATCATTGGGTTTTGGTTGCCTGGAAAATCAAGCAATTTGCGCTTGTCAACTCTTAAAAAACTTGTGACAGGCATCTCTGAACAAAATAAAAGATTGAGCTCATAACCATTTCATTTTGATTGCGGGTAACAAGGTAGCCCATCGAGTAGAGCCCCATGTAATTGTTCTTCTCGCAGTGGTTGGGTTTGAATGCAACCCGCGGCACATTTCATCACCTCTCTCTCTTTATCTTTACCTTTTCTAACGAATAAAGCCAAAAAGTGCCAGTAAAATAAAAAATGTTTAATTGTGAAATCCCCATCAGTTGAACTAAATGCACTTTCTAAAGGATACAATAAATATTTGTTAAATCTCTATTCTTCATTGTGTGACTGTAACCCTACAGTACATGACATACTGCTAGTTACTTATTCAATCATTTAGGGATGAAAGCAGGTCTCCCTTGAAAAAGAGATCATTGATCTCAATGGGATTTTACCTGGATAAATAAAGGTTTTGAATTGAATTGAAAGATGATTCCATATTTTCCTTGATTTGACTAAAACACTATCTAAATGTCTAAAATACATGTACATTTGAAAGAAATAGATGTTTAAGTACACTCTTCTTAAAACAGGTGCCAAGGAGGCAGTAGAGTAAAGAAAAAAAAGTACATTCCAGCAAATCCTTGTAAAAGGTAAAATAAAGTTGAAAAATCAATAATAATGCAATCATCTCAGCAGTATACTCCAAGCATATCCCTTTTTTTCATTTTGTGGCATAAAAAAGAAAGAAAGATGTACTTGGGTTGCTTTGTGTGCCTGTATGGTTTTTATACAGTGAGAAAGACAACAAGGCAGCCAAAACCCCATGATCAGCGTTTCTTAACAAGTTCAGTGACTTTAAGAGCAAGAAAGAAGCTGGAGTCTCCTCTTTGGGAAACAGCCGATATGGTTTGGTTCTTACATCAAAGCTGCAGGACAGAAGTGAGGATCAGCAGAGGAGAGTCATTCAAACTAAAGAGAGATTTCCAAGTTCATTTTTTTTAACTCCCGTGTTGTGGGTTAGAGGGTCTTCATAACATGAATACGGCTTGATTTCCAAATGTATTTCCCCTTAGATCAGACAATTTCATCTTCTCACATCATTATCATTAATATTCAATTTTCCAAGCTTATGACCATAATGCAAATTTCCACCCTGCTAAACACACCTGTGATTCCTGGCTGCTCAGCTTCCCAGACCACTCACAGGGGAGAATCCATCCCAGGAATCACACACACACTTACACACCAACTTAGGCAATTCAACACCATCAACATTATCCAGAACACCAGATGCACCACTCAACAATAATTACTCCCACTTGGTGTTGCTTTTCTACAGCCCAACACTTAACCTTGAGCGTCATCTGATCAATAGCTTGTTTTATTGTTCCCAACCCATTGCTTCAACATACAATTCATAGACAAACACGACCTCGAACCCTGAAGCAGGCCATGCAATGTCTGATAACTGCCCATCTGGAAGAAGAGGGCAGTGTAACAGAATAATAGCAGGATAGTTCCCATTAAAGCCAGTCATTAGAAGGCTGAATTAGTGGTGAAGCCTAATGGAGCTGCACATGCTGAAGGTAGAGCTTTAGAAATGGCTATCTGCCACAGCTAACTGCTGGTTTCATCAACTTCAGCTGATTTTAATGCCATTTTGGTTTAACATCAAGGTTATTTCGCTGCATATTTAAGTGAGACAAAAAGTATTAAAACAGGAGTTGCACCAAGTTGCCATGGCGTCCAGCAATTTTTATGCTGATATTACATGAAACGAGTGGTGGAATAGTGGTTGTTGGTCTTAATAAGGTGGAATCTGCGTGCGCTCTCAGCTGCTGCTCTGCCTAAACCCCAGCGGCTATTACGGCTGTACCAGATGCTATAATCATGCCTGGGACTGGGCACAGTGGCTAGTGTTCAATTATCAATTTATCCATGGCTGAAACACTTTTATCCTGATGGCTGCTGTGGAGAGGCTGATTGGATGGGAGGTCACCCGGTTCTACATAGTGTTGAAAGAAAAGCTGTGATTTTGATTGTATTGTCAAAAACAGTAAACCAATTAACAAAAAAGTGCAAACTCGTAGGTTTAGCAGTCATTGTAAATAGGCTTTAAGTTAATTATAAATAGGCTACATTTATTGATGTTCACTGTTTCCCGACATTAAAGTATAATGTATTGTTTTACAGGATAACATTGAGTCTGTACGGAAGAAGATTAGGTCCACGTGTAAAACAAAATGGAGAATTTTATTTTAGTTTGGAGAATAAAGTCATGATCAAAACTGAAAATCAAAAGTGTTTTTTTTCTGAGAGAAAAACTTTATTTTATATCATATTCACATGTGGCCCTAATCCTCGCTTCCCCTGTTTTTAGAGAACAGGGGATAGGAAGAAAATAGGGATAATTGGACTCACGGAAAGCTGTGTAGAACTCGTGCAGGCTGAGGTGTCTGTCATTGTTGTAGTCGTCGTAACGCAGAAGGTCCTGCATGGTGCACTCCAGCAGGCTGTCCTCCAGGTGCTCCTTCATGGAGATCTAACACACAAACACACATGGAGAGTTACATTTTAAACGTGAGATGAAAATAAACGGCAGAAAGACTTGTGGGAAAGCCAGATGATATAGGCTACTATCACACACAGCTATACATTTCTCATACCTTATCTAACCTTTACTTATCGTTTCTCCCATGCCTTCATTATTTTTACTCTACGCTTTCATTCTAATCTACTGGGAGATAGGACCACATTATGCACATACCTATGAATATAAATCTAACATATTTAAAAGGGGAGATACCACAGACATTTAACAATTCAATATACTTCTATTAGGTTGTCTGGGCTTTTTTTTAATGAATATGAACATCTGAACATCACACCTGGAGTTCGGAGGACAAATTATACATTGCATTTAAATTACAGCCCCCGCTGACTTATTTCAAATGAAACAAGAGAAGTAAGTATGAAGACAAACCAAGGCTGACTGGTAAAATATGTATTGGACTGTTTCAGTGATTTTGAGTTTGGGGAAATACAATTTGTGACTGAAGCAGCACTTGATGCTTCATTCAAGTGCTGCTTAATTTCAGTCAAGTTATGCTTCTGATGCTTCTGATGTGTTTGTATGTTCTAAGGAGTAACAAAGAACTCAGAAATAAATATATGACTATATGAATAACTAGTATTATGAGTTTGCAAATCAGTCACGTTTAATGAATCATAACGAACAGGTAGCAACAGAAACAATTGGAGGACTTGGAACAGATTTTACAATCAACAGATGGATAAAACTACATTTGCATGCATTCTGTATTTACCTTACGAGTTTCTGTTCAGTTATTATCTAAATGGAAAAGTTGCTGCTATATTCAGCACAGCCTCCTATTGAAAGCTTTTAAATGTTGCTGTTCCAAGTGGTACAAGAAGTGGCAATTTGGGTTTCCAGCAGAAGCAATAGTGATGTCAAATGAATTGCATGCCTGAATACATTTAGCATTATAAGTAGTGCTCAGAGTGAATATTGTATTCCACCCACAATTAGAATTAGATTTAAATCAGACAGAAAATGCCTCATGAACATAATCACCAGAAAAACAGAAAGTGACTCACTCTGAGTGTGATTTATTTTTGTTAAAATGGGATGGCTAAAATATATAATTTGTCTTGTAAGTGCTGTTTCTGATTGTTTTCCATTTTAGGAAAATCTCCACTCTTACTGTTTATGCGTGTGCACACTGCACCTGACTTAATTTGCAGATGTTCCCCTGGGAAGAAGCACCACTTACTCCTCTGTTGTTTGTCATTTATGAGCCCTCTCTTCCATTTTAGCGCTGTGCCTTCCACAAGGGAACCATCTTTGAATAGGTAGTGTTAAGCAGTTTTAGGGAGACGAACAGAAGGCTGAGCTTCTGCTCACTAGCTCTAGCAGCAGTAAATTGTGTTAATGCTGCTGCTTTTGTAAAAAGGAATAGCTTTAACTAATAAAAGTGACAAATGCTGAAAGCAGGTCCATCTTTGTCAAGTTAAAGTCCTTATGTATAAACAAGACACAATGTACTATAATTTCTTCTAAGCCCCCATAACTTTAATTTCATTTAGCTGATGTTTTTTTCATCTAACGCTACTTACAATGGGTGCATTCAACCATGAAGACAAACCCACAATAGCAAGAATCCTGCAATACATTAGCTTTAGATAAGCTAAACCATTGTAATTGCTACATTCAAAAATAAAAATTATATTGTTTTTGCAACCAAACGTGGGTTTTTAGTCGAGGAAAACATGTGTAGACCTTCTGCAGTCAGAATAGCAAACAGGCATTTTTTAGGGGTACCTGGGTCCCACTTTAGATGAACGTAGGAAGAGCCTTATCAATTAATTGTTGTGGTTTCATGGCTGAAAATGACTGTTTCATAGTCAAAAGGGTCCTGGCTACACTTCAAAATAAACAATTCATGAATAAACATCATACAGTAAGCTCTACCAGCTAAACATTTCACTTTTCAATCACATTTAATCTGCTTTTAGAAACCCCAAATACTATTACTTAAACATCAAAATATGGTTGAAGCTGGGTGGAGCAATGGAGGAAAAATGTGTACGATGACAATGTCAAATACAAAACTAACAGGAATGAAAGGCAGCTGATGGGCACAAATCAATTTAAGAATCAGTAGATATATATCCTAAAGCAGCATGTGTGGACAGTGAACTTAAAGTTGTACCTATTACATTACATTACATGTCATTTGTTAGACGCTTTTATCCAAAGCGACTTACATACATTCAGTACTGTGGACAATCCCCACAGGAGCAAATTGGGGTGAAGTGTTTTTCCCAGGGAGGGGACACAACAACATGCTGACTGCAATGGGACTCGAACTTGCTATCCCCTGATTTGAAGTCCAGCACACTACCCACTGAGCCACAGCCTCCCTATTAACCAACAATAAGGCTCTTTTCATTATATATATTAATATTCTTTAATAGGGTGTTTTAAGGGCAGTCATTCTAACAAGACTATAACTATGTAGTGCAATGTTTAATTCTCTGCAATGATTTCAAAGCCTAAAAATACAGCCTCTGAGCTTACATATTTCCTCCAATTGATTCTGTATGGAGCTGCACATGTGACATGGCAGATTAAGGGATGCGACAAACTTTTTATATCCTTGCTGCCTTCAGCAGACTGCAGCCATGTGTTCCCTGACACTGACTGATCTGTCCTTAGGCATTTAAGTAAAACATTTCCAAACCAAAGTACAGAACTTTACTCTCCAAGACTATTGATAAAAGATGGATGTGAACATGGAGACAGTTTGGATGGATGACTGGAATTCATCTTTGAATTGCTTTGGTCTTTAAAAGCATTATCTCTGTGAAAATGCATTTATGAATTCCTGCAGGATAAGAATGTCTTATCAAAAGACTTCCTGGCCACATCTCAGCATTATTGCCAGCTGTGATTGATCAAAATCATTTGATGGATCTTTTAGTGCAGCTCTGTCAGAGAGGGATTTTATTATTTATATATGCCGCTGGAACTAGGCCAAAGAAGTTACATAATCTTTTTAATCTACATGCGGACAAAGTGTGTTGTCATTCACATCTGCAGAGAGATGACAAAACGTGAAACATTGTGGCATTTATGAGACTACATTTAGTGGCGCTTATTAATCTTGAGCTGCCTGTTTTTTATTTATTTTATTTATTATATATCCACTTCTTTAAATTCTCCCATAATTAGAAAGAGCTACAACACATTTGAAACACTTGTAATGTTTTTAGATTGTAAAGCCTTTGAAAATGCACTCATACAACTGCATTCAGAAGTGACTCTCCAATGGTTTACTGCATTCTGGCAGAAGTTACTGAGATCACAACATTGGTTCAAAGAAGTCTAATTAACATCTATCTCTGATGCCCATTTCCTGATACCAGATGATGCCCACAATAATTGAATTTCCTCACTCGGCAAGTGTGAATGCCAATCCATTCTACAGTTCCCCCCTCAGACCCTGGTGGTGAGATAACCTCAATTAGCATGTTTCTTTGTTAAAGAGGATTCAATGGAATCTAAAAGGAAGCTTTAAACTGTTAACGTTAGCTGCTAGCTTTGTTATTTAGCCAATCAAGAGAGTTCTGCCCGCCAGCTGCTAACAGCTGACATACAATAGTTTTTGTCCTGCCAGTTTCAACACAGATTTGAGATTCAAAATGTAGCATTATCAGGATTATCAATAGTGACTTTACTGCATCTTATCAGATTTTAACGCGTCTCTGGGTACAATAGTTTAGGTAATAGTAATAACTCTGGTAGGGAGACACACAAATGAGAAAATATCTGATCAACTGTTGTTTAATGTGTTCAGATATAGGTTAACATTTCAATGTAGAGAACTTAATTCAAATAATAACCAATTCTTAAAAAATGATGGTGATCCCTAAACCGCAAATGTCTTTAATCTGTTGTTTGTTGTCAACACAAGGTCTCTTAGAGCAGTGGTTCTGAAATGGGGGTACGCGGACCCCTAGGGGTTGGACTACTGCAGGGGGTACGTGAGATTTATTTTATATTAATGAACAAAAAAAACATAATTAATGCATTTAAACAAACTACTAATAGTAGATTAACTACTTTTATTCAAAGGTTTACAGTAATTCTGGATAATAAAATGGGAAAAATAAACGGGGTGCTCTCTTTTCCTCTCCCTCTCCTGACAGCCCGTCAGTCTCGTGCAGCTCGCTGAACCTGTAATAAGTGACCCGACAGTAAAGAATACACATATGTATAACTAGTATAGCTAGTTCCAGAGTAGATAAACTAGCTAAGTGTGTTAGGTCTAACTGTATTTTGCTCCACTCAACGGTCCGTCACAGCGGCGGAGCTGTGATCATGCAGAGCTGCGTGTTCTCCGTCAGCAGCAGCTGATCTGATCTCTGATCTCTGTCTCGCGTCCGGTTATACTTCACTCGCGTTTATGTCCAAATCTATCAGATCTAGCTAGTTCTAGTTAATTATATGACTGCCTGCTTCTCAAAGGACACCTAAACAATAAGCGTTGCTTGGCAACGGCTTGTGGCTGCAAAGTATAGCGCAGCATTATGCATATGTTTATATGAGGAGTCAAAATCCCATGCTCATAAAATGCTCATATTTTTTGTTCTCTTCATTCCCCACGCCCAAAAATAAATAAATATACACATTTTAGGAAAAGTAAGGAAGTTTGAGCAGTGTGGGTTTTATATTGACAGAGTTACACATATTTCAAAACTGCAGTAGCCTCCCTGTCAGAATGACAAAGATCCTCAGTGAAGCACAAGCCCATATTTCTCACTAAATTGTAAGTACAACTTATTAAAAAGATCAGTTCAATGCAACTAATGTCGTCTTAGTGTTATTGCATGATATTAAAATTGGTTTGCCATGAATTTTGTGATGGATTGTAAACATTTGAAATGTAGCATTTAAGTGTTTCTCAGTTACAAGGTTGTTGTTTTAATAAATCAGACATGGTGCAGCGCTGTACTGTACTTCTTTATATAGGCATTTTTTCCCTAACAAATAGTTTTTGCGCTGATCAGGGGGTACTTGGCTGAATTTATTTTCCGAAGGGGGTACATTATTGAAAAAAGTTTGAGAAAAAAATAAATGTACAAAATAATATCTTAAACATTCATTTGTCAATCCATATAGCTATCCTTTTATATTGGATCAACTAATAATTCAGCTTGATACCAACCTTTTCCAGCTCCCCACTGACCAGCCGGCCGTCCTGGTCCACATCCAGGTATTTGAACATGGTGTCCACCCGTGCTCTCTTCTCCTCCATGTCTCTCTGCTGGCTCTGCCCTCCATTTTTCAGCACTTTTGGTTGCATATCCAGCAGCATGCTTTTCAGCCTGTTGTACTCCGACATGGTGCATGCGTTGCCTGCAGGAGGAAACACACAGATATGGAAGAAAATACATTTGATTAACCTCAATTATACAAGCCAAAGCCTTTTTATCATAGCTGTAAATTGGATTGAATGTGTTTGTGTGTTTTATAGAGGGAGGAGAGGAAAAGCGGGATATATAATTTGTATTTGTGCATGCATGTGTGAGTGTGTCTTTCCTTAAGTGTTTACTCATCTAAAAATTGTTGTTTTTTTGTTTGCATAATTTGTCGGACAGCTTTTTTCGGGCAGGGGGTCCAATTAATTACAAGTAATCCTAGAATCCACAGCAAACAAAAGGTAAACACCCTCATGTAGACCCTTTCAAGCTTCTTGTTCCCCTTTGCTATGGGATTAAAGCTCATGTTTCAAACCAAACTGGGCATCTCGCTCCTGATTTGCTGCAAGGCTTTGCCTGATGAGGTTGAGCATAGGAAATAAGAGGCCACAAATTAATCACCATCAGCACTCAGCATTTTTTCTTCACACTGTAATAAATAATTATGCAAAACACGTCTGTGCCATGCTGTGAGGGACTTGATCATGATGGAGAGCAGGGAAGCCGGTTTTCCTTTTCTTTTGTATCACGTCGCTCATTCACTTTATTATCAACTGAGCCTGATGACAGCATCTGAGACGTTCGCGGGAGGGTGGGAGGGAGCAAGACCTACGTGCAAGTCTGAAGCGTGGTGTTGAGAGAACAAAATGTGAAAATAACTCTCTCGTATGAATAAATCATGAAGTGATGTCCCTGCCCGATCACGGCAGAGTAGGAGACCACCCTCTGAGAGTACACAGGAAGGGAGCTCATTGCCTAATCTCCTCCGACAACACAGCAACTATCAAAGCTAACAAATGCAGAATGGGGGAACAAGATAGACCTAAAAGAAAGACTCTTAAAGTTTAGTCCCAGCATCTCCTTTTTGTTCCAAATCCATAACCATGGGGAGTGCTGCCAAAGCACATCTACGTTTATTAGCACAACTGCCACTGCGGGGAAGTCAACGCGGGTTCAACAAGGCTACAGCAGAAAGGCAATATCTCCCACTGTGGTACTTTATGTTAAAGTGCATATTAACAATACACATATGTTCATGCTTATGCATAAGAACAAGCATACACACACACACACACACACACACACACACACACACACACACACACACACACACACACACACACACACACACACACCCTGAGAAACAAGGGGTTTACTGGGGTGCAAAATGCCACCATATCTCAAAGACAAGCTCAGGGCGTGACATGATGAAGTCCTCAATAACCTCTGAGACTACATGCTCTCCATTCATCTCGAGAGATTGACCTGACACTAGGACAGGGAGCAGCGCTATGATGAAGAGAAAAACATGACTTGGCTTTATTACACTTACATTTATGAACTGACTAAAGCCTAAAATGAAAATAATAAAACCTATGACAGAGAATGAAAGTGGTTTGTCTGAACAGCTTGAGATGTTAAGATAGGTCACACATTAAAGACAAACTCAACGTAAAGCAACATAAAGCTTTAATGAGCCTTAACATGGGTGTGATTATTCCCTTACATTGACTATAGTTATTCTCTTATTTTCTTGCTTCATAAAGATATGTAAAGCAATTTTTAGGTTGTTCGAAAAACAACCTTTGGGCCTTCCCTCCTTTGATGAATTACTAGGAGCGAGCGACAGCATTTATGAACAGGAGGGCCACTCATTGTCAGTACTCAGACTTGGTAATCAAGTCCATCTATTACAGTATAGTGATGGGGTGTTGTTCTTGGTGGTGGAGATCAACACAGAAAAACAGCAACTAATGTAAAGGCAGTCATCAGAACAATAAATCGCAGTTCTCATTCATAACACTCCGTTCGATGTCTCACTATGGGATGCGCCTCATCGCGGAGCAAACAGAAGCATCAATCTCATTACGCCAATCCTGATTGGCTGGTGATCTTGACGTCAGCGTCAGGGAATCACCCCCTATAAGTAGCTTGCGCCACGACGCATGCATCATTCAAACACCTCTTCTCGCTTCAGAGCACATCTCTACAGTAGCCGGACAAGCTTAACGGTCCACAGACTGAACCCAAATATAACCATTTCGGTCGACGGACGCTCGCTGGCTACTCCTTCTGCTTCGCAAGAAGACGGTAATACTAACGCCAGTTAGTATTAAAATCGACCTCGCCGTTCTTTCCCCGGAAAGTAAGGTAATGTTTTGATTTTTCTCAAGCTAGCTACGCACCCGTTGCTAGCTAGCTTCCCCTTACTACCGACACCACGGTAGCGAGGACGCTTTTCTTTTTCTCTCTCACGGAGGAGAAAAGGATTAGGAGTATATTGACACACCAGTCAATATTCTTTGAGAACAAAGGACCCACACCATCCCCTTTTTCTCCGGATTAAGGACGGGTTGGTAACACTTTTTCTCTCAACGACGTACCTGTTACGAGCGGGTCCTCTCCACGCCACGAGGCGAACAAGATGGACGCCTCTCCCCCTCACACAAGAGGAGTCAGGGACTCGAAGGCTCGGTCATGCGGCTGCGGGTTGAAGATAGCAGGCACAGACTCACACCAGGTCTGCCCGTCCTGCCTCGGGCTGAAACACGCCCAGGAGGCTATCGACAACCCCGGCTCGTGCGGGCATTGCGCCCTTTTCACCCGAAAGAGCCTCCACCGACGGCTAGCACACCAAGCTAGCTTGTTGGAACAGGACTCCCTCATGTCCACTGATTCGCCGTTTGGCAATCAAGACACGGGGGCGTCTGCTGCAGAGACTGAGCCCCTCACTATGCCGGTCTGGGGCTCACTAACAGCGGCAGCTGCGGAACCGGGATCCCACGCCGTGTCAGGCCGGGACCCGGTGGCGGCAAGAGACGCGGGAACGGAGCCACACGCCTCACCAGGCGGGAGCTCCCGGCGAGACCTCACCATGGTCTCACCCGCGGGGAATGTCCTGGAATTAGACTACATGGGGGACAAAGAGGACACCTCTGAGTCCCTCCTGTCTGATTCGGATGAGCAAGAAGAATATATCTTCATGTCATCGGCTCAAACGGCAAAGCCGGGAGCGATGGCTGCTCTCCCGGGCGATAGCACACCAGCTTCGCCCTGTCTGAGCAGGGACCTGCAGGCCGCGTGTCAGCGCGCTGCGTCCAGGCTAGACATCCCGTGGCCCGAAAGGGCCAAGGAGACCGCCAGGTCCCGTTACGAGGGGAAACATTCTCCCCAAGCAACGAGGACAAGGAGGCAACCCCTCCCGGTCTTCCCGGAGATGTTGGATGAGGTGTCGGTCTCGTGGAGGGACCGACCCTTTACCAACAAGGCCCCAATCCAGGCTGCCTCTTCCCTAGACTGCGACGGTATGGAGAGGCTCGGCCTGCTCCGCATACCGCCGATGGAACTGCTGGTGGCAACCCACCTCCTACCGAGGATGGACCCGTCACCAAGCAGGAACCCAACGCTGCCAGCGAAGGTGGACCGTTTCCAGTCAACCATGACGGAACGGTCCTACAGAGCCGCAGCGTTGTCCGCCAGGGCTCTGAACGTTTCCTCACTGCTAACCGCATACCAAGCGGAGCTCTGTGAGGATATGTCGAGTAATCCTGGACCGGCCGTTCTGGACGAGTTGGCCGCGGTCACAGACATTTGTCTCCGTGTCCAACGCTGCGCCGTCCAGGCCACGGGCAAAACAATGGGGATCATGGTGGTGCAGGAAAGAGCTAGATGGCTCAACCTCACCAATCTCCCAGACCGGGAAAAGGAGGATGTGCTTGACATGCCCATCGTTCCCGAGGGGATTTTCGGCTCCGCTCTTGCCTCCATGCAAAGCAGATGCGAGTCGAAAAAGAAGGAGGACGAGGCCCTCCACCTCTGCCTCCCTCGAAGGGCCCAGCTGCTGCCTTCGCAGCGGCAGCCCTTCGTCCAAGCTGCGAACCCTGCTCGGTTAAAAATACCGAAAGCGCAGAGGTCGCAGTCCGCCCTGAGTCCCCAGCCCAGGCAGGGGACGAGGGCGAGCTGGCCTAGAAAATCTCCGGTTCCGGCTGCAGCCCAGGTGCAGCCAACCCAGAATTTCGGCCAGCAGTCGAGGAAGAAGAAGCGAGCGGCGCGACAGCCCCTCCTTCTCCCCTCTGTGACGGAGCTGGAAGTCTACGGTTCCCCAGCTCTAAATGTGTTCCCGCCGCCTCGAGAGATGCCTCAACACCATCCTCAAGTCCGCATAAACACATGTCACACACTTATTGATTTTTCTGTCACAAATCATTTTCCGCTGACACATCCAGGCTTCGAGCCAAGGGCGCAGCTCGGAAAAATGAAAAGAAAAACAATAAACAGTCCGTCAACTGTTCCCCTTCTGAGAGCAGCTACGGCCTCTCTCAAAGGGCGGACAATTGACGGGTCTGTGAAGGCACCACCGTCACGCGCATGCGCAGTGCCGGCTGGGGCTGTAAAGGCACTACCGTCACGCGCATGCGCAGTGCCGACTGGGGTCGTGAAGACACCACCGTCACGGGCATGCGCAGTGCCGGCTTGTCGAAATGGGGGCACCACAGTGCTCAGACACTGGAGGGCCCCATAACACAACAAATAGAGACTCAGAGGGGAAGAGACGTGACATCTCAGCTGGCTCTAAGGAGCATACAGCGGGAGATGCTCACGACATCTGCTTGGGTTTCTCAAGACGGTTACACGGAGCTACAGACTCCAAGTCACCGTCACCCCCCCTCGCCTCTCGGGCTATCTATATTCACAAGCCCGGGGGGAGTCAACCCATATTCTGGAGAGAGAGATTCTCTCTCTCCTAGAAAGGAGGGTTTTATCTATAATGCCCGCCGAGCAGAGTCAGATTACGCAGACAAATGTCCTCGTAAAGCACCTGCTCAACATGGGTCTCATAATAAAACCAAACCCTGCGCGCCACGGCGTGCGGAGAGTATTGGTTATTATGAAATGCGTAGTGGCACTACGCCACTGGCCGCACCCGACTTTTCTAGT